ACAACGTGAAAAAATAAGGCATAGGTAGCTTTTCAAGTACAAATAGTTTTTGGCATAAAGTTGGCCCACTTTCGGGCATTGTCTTTTGCACTCGAAATAAATGAGTTAAACACTATTTTATAAACACTTATGGATGTGTACAATATTATAATATTAACAAGAAACGGAGAAAACGATGCTAGGCACTAGACGATACTAATTGTATTAATATTACAAAAATATTATTTTGGTGTTAAATGTTAAATCGGCGCGCGAATCTTGTCGACTGTGATTTTTGACAAATTTGATTTAACTCTTACGCTATCGAGAACGTTAAAAAACTCGCACTAAGCACACAAAACTTTCTTTTTTTCTTGCTTCGGTTTCCTCAATACTGAGGGCCGTGACCACAAGCATGAGATACAAGTTTCTTGGGATATAATCATGGTGGATTCCTACGTCCTTCCATGTCAGTCTTTTAGAAGGGATTTAGTCCTTCGCAGCCACTGAAAGCTGGTGCGAGATCGCTATGTGGACTCGGAGAGTGGGTTATTTGACCGCCGCCCACAACTCGGCGTTGACATTTTACAGTTGGCATTGTCTTCTATCAAACCACACAAAACCTAGGGGGGTAATTTTAATATAACAGTTTCGAAGTATCGATTTCGCGCCTGTGCTAGCAGCGACAGAAATTTATAACAATTGTAGCGTGGGGGCAAAACTCCTCGCAAATAGATATTAGGGCGATAATGATTACGGACAAGTGTACTTTAAAACTAGACAAATTCATTTTTTTTAATACGCTTTTATCAGCTTCAGACGTATGTATGTTGGTAACGAAATCTTTGAACATAATTTTGACTCCCTTCAAAACATCGGATTAATTCGAAATGCGGTAGGTAATTTGGTAGGAAAGGAACGGTGACAATTCAATATTTAAAAAAATAAAAATAAAAATTCAACTAAAAAATTCAAAATAAATAATATTATGTATGGTATCAGTAGTTATAAATATTTTATAAATATTTTGATAATATCCTGAAAAGCACCCCACGCTTTTTTACAATAAAATAATTTTTTTTTACACTATTTTTAATTCAATTAATTTTTTTTTTCTATTTTTTAGTTGGATTTTCTATAAAAGCGTATTTTTTTAGTTTTTTCAACTATTTTTTTTTTCCTTCTTTAGCACCTGCTATCAGTCAAGACTCAGGTGAGTTCCGAGGGGTTATAGTCTAGAGAGGCAGAGCCAATGCTCCGTCTTGCCTTAGTAAGATAGCACGTGAGTTCTCTTGAGTCTTCTAATCGGTTTTCGCTGCAAGAGCATACCGGACAACGGGTTTTGGATGAGCTGTCAAACGTTTCTTATAGTTGCTTGAGTATCGTTTAACTAATAAATAATAATAATAATCTATATATATCTATATATTAATACGTGAAGCAAAAACTTTGTATCCCTTTTTACGAAAATTACGCGGACGGAGGAGTATGAAATTTTCCACACTTGTAGAGAATATAGAGAAGTGCACAATGCTAATATTTTTTTAAAATAATGCATAAAAGATACATTAAATCAAGAAAACATTACACACACTACATACCATGTATTTGACGCACACACGCATGCATACTATTTATTGTCAAACTTTTGTTCTTGACGTCTGTTGTCAAATTGAGAATAGATTATAATTAAATTATATAATTAAATATTGTTTGTCTTTGTTAATATTTTTTATAGGTAGTCTTGGCGAAATTTGTGATTATAGAAGTATAAAATACAATCATAGTACAAACTTACAATTCCAATTAATTATAGTCGAATTTCGACTACTGCGGGACCTCTAGTATAAATGAATTGCTGTTCGTTAGTATCGCTAAAACTCTAGAACCGATTTGGCTAATTTTGATCTTGAATTCAGGATAATACAGCGAAGTTATAAAACGATTGTAACGTCATCGGACCTTGAAGCGCGAACGAATTGTCAAGTTGATCAGTGTGTTTAGTGCAAGTTTTTAAACGTTCTCGATATCGAAAAAGTTAACACGTCTGTGTGCAGTGACTTGACACTCTTGACAGTTATGGTTCCTAAGGAACGTGGATCTCTATGATGACCTGGAGCTTGACTCAGTCAGTAAGTATCTACAGTCGGCATCATTGCTCCACTTTGAGAAGGCGACATGACATGAGAACCCTCTTGTCATGGCCGCTGGAAATTACATACCCGATCCTGTAAACCGAATGGTAAATAGTCGACGTCGCCCAAAACACGTCTTCACGGATCCTCCCAATCCAATTAACCCACAGACACAGCCCACTGAGTTTCTCGCCGGATCTTTTCAATGGGTCGCGTTTCCGATCCGGTGATAGATTCTGCGAAGCACTGCTCTGGCTAGGGCCAGTGTTAGCAACACTCCAGTTTGAGCCCCGTGAGCTCACCTAAACGTTAGGGCGAAGCTGAAATAGCTTCTCAAGGCTATCAGCATAGGTAGGGAAAAAATAAATTGACAGTGTGCTTAGTGTGAGTTTTTTAACTTTCTCGATAGCGTAAAAGTTAACTCATTTTTGTATGGAACGAGATCGTTTGCCTACGTTTGCCGCTAGAGGCGCTGTTTCAGTTGCATACAATATCGAGTTAACTTTTACACTATCGAGAACGTTAAACAACTCGCACTTAGCACACAGAGGTCTTGAGAGGTCTGTGAGAATGACTGTCAAAGATTTATTATCATTCGTTTCGTTATCGGCTCTCTCTCTCGCGACAAACCTCGCCCTGAATCCCTCAAGGTTCCGCTCTCTGCCCTCACTGTTAGTAATTTTCTCAATCTGAGCCAGTAAGCTCATCTATGGCCAATGTGTAGCCGGAACAGCCCCTTACGATACCAGCCATTAAGGAAAAAACAAAAAAACAAAAGACGATAATGCCAGAAACCTTCTGTTTATTTCATTATATTAAAATTATTACAATGGTTTTTACAAATAAAATAAAAACACGTGTGGCACTCGGGGACTGCCACGGTAAAGCTATTGCTAGCATTTTTTATCAACTTATGCAATTATAATTAGATAATAATAATTTAATATTGAAACAATAACAAGACCACGCTATATTTATAAACATTAGCAAAAGCAAAACATTAACTGTCCCCTTCACACTCATAAGCTAGACCGCGCGAGAGAGAGATAGGCAGACTTTTCTTAATGCGCATGCAGTGCGACGTCACGCCGCGCGCTTATTCACATGCACTACACAAGCGCAACGTATGAATGTGTTGAATGCGAGCTACATGGTAAGCGGAGTGGGGGTGCTACGTTTTATTTTCGTTACGGAATTTCTTGATTCGGTCGCCGCCCTCAAAGCCCGCGATAAAAGCTATGCAATAGCTTAAAACTATGTCTTGGTTTATTGCCAAAACATAATCCAATCCACCATATTTGGTATAAAAAGTTTGCCAGAAATTATTAAAAGCAACCATTCAGAAGTAGTACATGCTTAGCTGTTAGTTCATAACATGGCTATGTTAGACACAAGATATCATGGGATATGTCTTGTGGTCATAATGAAAATCCTAACACCACTCTGAGATTACTTACAAAGGTAAGATCAACAAGTTTACAAAAAGAGCATGAGGTAGCGGTAAAAAAACATTCTTATTACTTATATCTGGTGTTCATCGATTACCAGAATCCATAGAGATGAACAGCATAAATATCACCAACCACCTTGAGAAATCAGTTTTTATAGTAAAATGGCTGCCTCATCCCTCATACCAGATCGCATGGCTGTAATACTCAGGGTGGTGGTACCTACCCGTGCAGAATCACAAAAACCCTTTACCACTAAAAGAAGGTGCTAAATGCAATAAGAATTGCACATCAACTATTATCCGTGTCATAAAAATTTACCCATTAAGATGGTATTTTTACCTATACTTTTTGGTATGTATGTGAAGGAAGCTTTGAAAATGAATTTCATAGTTTAACACAGTCATACCAGATGCAGAACTATGCAATAATCTAGCTTTTTTTTTGTTTTTTTCCTGGCACCTCACACTTTTTTGCAATCAAAATACTGGTTTTGTTGTTAGCTTAATTCATAATTTGAAGTTATTAAAAAAGTATCGCTTCTCATAAGACACATATTTAAGTAGCTTTATTTAGGTTTACATGCAAATAGAACAAAATCTACATATTTAATAAAATAGTTATTTATAACTTGACTCTTGTAGGTAAAAAACCTTTTTTTTTTAATAATACTTTTATTCCCCTAGGTGACAATTTAGTTTTCATAAAGTGTAAATCTAATTTTAAACTTTTTTTCAAATATACATTATGACAGACAAATACCCAAATCTAAGCGCGTTTCTAAAGCAATATTTTCGTGTTATCCTTATTCAAACAAGAGATACACAAATATAAAGCTTACATGTTCTTAGTGAGGAATTTAAAATGCAATCATCCCCATTTAAACTATAGAACACAATTCAGAGCAGTAACATCCATTCCTATCTAGCACCAGAATGTATCCATTTTCATTCCATATCTAAAACTTTTAATTTAATGTTCTTGCAATTTATGCTTACAAAATTAATCTCAATATATTTTTAATTCCAAATTGATTTTTAAAACTAAAGTGCATGGAAAGTAAACGTCTTAACGAAAACAGGCATTAGTGATGGCTGATTTCAATCTTTCGAAATCGATTAAGCCTTAAGATATCGATTTTATTTAAGATTACTTTTGTCAAAAAACATTTCGTTTTATGTTTGATACTAGTCAAAGTTTATTTTTAATTCGTTGTATTATTAAAAAAATACTGTATTCTTCTTTCAACGTTGTCACGATACGCCACATATCCTGGCATCTGCTAATACGTCTTCACTACTTAGTATAAAACAAAGTCGCTTTCTTTGTCCCTATATCTATCTATCTGTCTGTCCCTATGTATGCTTAAATCTTTAAAACTACGCAACGGATTTTGATGCGTTTTTTTAATAGATAGAGTGATTGAAGAGGAAGGTTTATATGTATAATAACATCCATTAAATAGTGGAGAAATCAATAATAAATTACAGTTTCCGAAGCGAAGCGAAGGCGGGTCGCTAATTTGTTAATGAAATAGAAGTTTAAATGAACTTGAACCATTCATTAAACCTTGAAACGTTCCACACCATTCATTTATTGGGAAAAATGTTATGTATCTTTCAGTTCCACAATTTGTCTCTTTTTCATTTATCACACATATTAAAATAAAGCAAAGAAATGCAAATTAAATTAAATTTTACAAGATAGTAATCGAATTAATTAAATTAGGATATGCTCTATTCAGCAAAGTACATTAAATCAATGCCCATTGTCATGCCAATTCGACGGACTGTTCGTAAATTCTAAATCTTAGATTTGATCATGCTCCATAGTTTATTTCTTTTGTAGTTTAAAAACTTAACAATGTATTCAGCCACCACTTCGGGCACGGTGATGTGTACGTCATGGCCTCCGGGTATGGTCACAACATAGAAATTAGGTAAAATATTTTGGCATTTCTCTAGAATATTCAAAGCGAAGCTCTTTGCTGGCCCGACCATGCTCGATTCAGATGCTGCTATCACTAAAGTCGGGGGACTGTTCGCAGTTAGAGTGGTGTAGAGAGTTTCATCCGAGACAGAAACATTTGATATTTTCTTCATGCTAGGTTGCCATGATAGTCTGGTGGAAAGAAACTTAGCATTATATGCAAAGTTATGTGCGAGCACTACATAATTGAAACACAAATTCGTAAGGGCGTACATTCGCAAAATATTCCTGGAGCTCTTTTCGTTTCTATGTCATCACATTAAGGTGCAACATCTACTATACCTATAGCTATATGCTTCATTACCCTATATAGGCATCATTACCCTTTCACCCCAAGTAAAAGGCAATCCCATTCGTCTCTTTTAACAATAAAAATATCGTCAAATTTGCCTTTGACCAATTAGGTTGCAGATTGAGCTTTAAAATATATTTATGTGTTTGCAAAATTTAGGTAAGACAGTAAAGACAATGCCGAAAACGTAATGACGTAATTTACATTGTATATGCCTATAAGTTCCAGTCAACGCTTAACATAACAACAATAAAAATAAAAAAATTAACTTACTCAAACTTATCGCCGGCGACGGGATCCAATGATCTCGCCAGGATAACCTCTGCTTGCTCCTCAGACAAGTTTCTGTTGCGGACGACTAGACTGAGCGCATCGTCGTAGGTGTAACGTCTTTTCTCAGACGAATTCCATCTGAAATAAAATTTTCATTTACCCTCATATTATTACATCACGAAAAAAGTAAATGAAAGATCTCTTTACTGTTGGTAGGACCTCTTGTGAGATCGTGCGGGTAGGTACCACCGCTCCGCCTATTTCTACTGTGAAGCAGTAATGCGTTTCAGTTTGAAGGGTGGGGCAGCCGTTGTAACTATACTTGAGACCTTAGAACTTATATGGTGGGCAACGCATTTACGTTGTAGATGTCTACGGGCTCCAGTAACCACTTAACATGAGGGTCAACAACAACACATTAGCAAGGATAAGCACTACCGTTCCAGCCTGTTACTGATGTGAATAGTTTCAGTTTGAAAGGTGATGCATTCGACATATTAAGAAACTGATGAGACATAACTCATGTTCTAATGTGAGTGGCGGCATTTACACTATTGATGTGTCTAGGCGAACACCATCTCAGCCAATCAAAAGAGACGATGATGAAAATCGTAAACTTATAGTATTTTGGTTCCTAAACGTGGTACCGAGAGTTCAAGCTTAAAAAGCAACAGTTATTTCTTAATTTTAATTAGAAATTACAAAAAGCAAACTTAAACTAAATAAGTCATTATTAAAATAGTTAACTAAACCTTTTGAAGCTGTCGTAATACTCCGTATAGATGTAGTTGAACCAGAAGGGCAGCTTGTGATGTACATAGTAGTACATGGATATCGGCGGTCCGGGGTCCAGGTGTATCATTCTCGACACTTTATTTGGATATACGTAATTGTAAAACAAACCTGCGGAAGCGACAACGTTAGCTGGTCTAGAGCAGTTGGCATATCATTAAGAGCTCAGCGAACTTAACGCAAATGAAATACGGTACGAATCTTGTTGTCAGCGTCCTGCCTATTTCTGCCGTGAAGCAGTATCGCGTTTCGATTTGAAGGGCGGGGCAGCCGTTGTACTGTTAAAACGGAGACCTTACAACTCGTGTCTCGAGGTGGGTGGCGGAATTTACGTTATAGATGTCTATGGGCTCCGGTAGCCACTTAATACGTGAGTCATGAGCTCGTTCATCTATGTAAATAATAAAAATCAAAACTTGATGTTAGCCGGTTGGAGTCGTGAATGCACTTTAGAAAGGTTCTTGTCGATTCGTAATAATAATATACTGATTATGTAATAAATAAAAAAATAAATAAAAATTATTGTAATGTGAACGGAAGAAAGCGGAATTGTCGTAACCTGAAAAACCAAACTTAACACCGGAACCATAAAACTATTTGAAAAATTAATAACTCCTACTATATTTAGAGATATAGAAAGTTGAAAATTGGTATGTATTTTTAGATTCTATTCTAAAGTCATCCGTGCATCCGTGCAGTACAGACGTGTTAGCGATCTTTCCAAAAACATTCATTTCACCGACAAACCATTTTAAACTCAAGCAACATATGCTCTTGATTACAATTTGCCGTGAAGTGCAGTGCGAGAAAAATAAAATTTATTTAACTTATTTTAAAACCGCTACTATTACAATTTCGACCATAACAGTTTAAGCAGTGACTACAAATTNCTGTGGTAATCTACCCTGTTTATACATTTTAAGAAAATAATAATCTTTATAGTTTTTGTTAAATATATTGTCATAGCACCGCATGTTGTTACTATAAAATATTTTTATGTACTGCACGAACTGAATTAATTATAACTATATTCTCATTTAAGTGAATTTATGTAATTCTTTTGAGAATAAAGAATATCTTTAACCCGAAGTCTATCTGATTATATATATAAATTATTAGTTACTTTTTACTGGTGTTAGGACCTCTTGTGAGTCCGCACGGGTAGGTACGGTGGTAGGCGGGGTGGTGACCCCGCCTATTTCTGCCGTGAAGCTGTAATGCGTTTCGGTTTGAAGGATGGGGTAGGCGTTGTAACTATACTGAAACTTTGGAACTGATTGATATCTCAATGTGGGTGGTGGCATTTACGTTATATAGCCAACGGTACCCACTTAGCACCAGGTGGCTTGTGAGCTCGTGTACCTATCTATGCAATAAAAAAAAAGTTATGAATTTTAAATTGGTTTTGTGGTCCGATGTAACCTTGGGTTTTTTCAAATTACGACAATTCAGATTTCTTCCGTCGTTATACTAACAATTTATAATATTGCCTTGTTACTGATAAGGGGGTATAGATTGAGACAATACGAATTATATAGTACGACGAGATGTAAAGAATATTTTAGGTAATTTTTTTACACCTTGAGTAACATTATTGGAGTTTTATAAAGAGTCCCTAATTTTTTTTCAAAGAATATTTTATAGCCTATGTCACTCGGGAATAGTGTAGCTTCCAAACAGTGAAAGAATTTTTCAAGTCGGTTCAGTAGTTTCGGAGCCTATTCAATACAAACAAACAAACAAATCTTTCCTCTTTATAATATTATTATTATTATTATTAGTATAGATTATCCTACAAGCGTAACTATTTCTAAGACAGACTAAACATGAGTCCTGTTTTAAAGGTTGTGATTGTGATAGTCCGTCGAAAGGTCAGTGTGATTATTGCGAGTTTTTTAACGTTTTCAATAGCGTAAAAGTATACTGGAGTTGGAACGTTTGACTGCGTTTGGCGCTAGGGGCGCTGTTTCAACCGCATACAAATTTGAGTTAACTTTTTCGATATCGAGAACGTTCAAAACTGGCACTAAGCACACTGATCTCTTTGAAGTCCGGTAACCATATTATGCTCGTGAGGCGCATAACATCTGCCCACGACAATGATACTGAATGACGACCACGATCCTTCTGACAGGAGTGATCCGACAAAAGAGAACCACTTAGTGCCAGATTGTTGGGAGCTAATTCAGACGTTAATGCAGTAAAATAATATAAACATACCTATGACCACACCCATGGAGTGCGCCATATAGACGAATCGATCCCATTTCATGAATTTAACGATTCTATGTATCACTTCGATTATATGAATCTGTGATATAACTTGACCCGTTGGAAAGTTCTCGGATTTACCGTGCCCTGTAATGATAACCAGCCATTTATGTGAAATGAAAAAACACAACATGTTATTTTTTAGAGTTGCGGCTCTCCGGCAGTTTTTATCTGAAAACCGACACTTTTCGTGTGGACTCATCTGAAGTTTATCAAGATTTGACAAATTGTTTTAGAGTTATATTTAAATTAATACATGAAGAATAAACTTTGTAACGCTTTTTACGAAAAATGCGCGAAAAATTTGAAATTTCCCACACTTATAGAGAAGGAGTGCAGAATGCAATTTTTATTTATGAATTATGCTAAAAAAATACATTAAATCGAAAAAAAATACATTACACACACACATATTGTGTTCAAATTGAGAATAGGTTAATATTATTTCTCTATAGTGTAGCGTTGGCGAAATCTGTGATTATATTGTCTATTGTCTTTAACAATAGAACCATAGCAACGTTCAAACCTATAGGACTACTAATCATAAATAAATCTACCGTCATTTGACTTCGACTACATTGATGATATTCTCGTTTACTCTTTGTTATACTTATTTTTTTTTTTTTTTCTCGATAGTCCATCATCATCAGCGTATAGCAGGCCACTGCTGGACATGGGCCTCTCAAATTACTCGCCACCGAGCACGATCCTCGACTTCTCTCATCCAGCTCCTAGCGGCCACCTTGCGCAGATCGTCACTCCACCGAGCCTGAGGGCGTCCTGCGATACTTATGTACTATATATACTCATAAATATATACCTGGCATATCGAACGCGACATAATAATGGCTGTCTGTCAATTCATTTACTAGTGGAATGAATGTCGCTGCTGTATCCATGTAGCCGTGTACTAATAACATCGGAGGTTTTGTTGAATCGCCCCACGCGATCACTATAACAGATTAATATATTATTATTTCGATTTAAAATGTCATTGAACTTTTATCAATGTCACTTAAAATAAAATCAAAAGCACCGTTAATGGATCGGGAGGATCCATAACGACGTGTTTTGGGCCACGTCGACCATTTACCATTCGGTCTACAGTGATTGCTAACAAGCTCAGAACTAAGCCAACCTATGAAACCCGTGAATACGCTTCACACGGATTGCATGTTTTATAATCTGAGAAAAATCAAATGACAATGAAAACTGAATAAAAACTACTGAAATAAATCTCGGATAATTGTTGTGAAGGTGCATAATGAAAAATGTACATATTGATACTTTTTTCTATGATCGAGGGCTTACTGGTGGCCCGGAGACCTTTCCAGTTTCACGGGGGAGCAAGGGCTCAGCCAGAAGGAGCGGGATTTGCTAACAGCCACCCGAGCGCCTCTACGGGAGACCTAACAACTCAAGAGTAGCTGCTTCGCTACTACTATGAATCTACTACCAGATCAGAATCGCGACCCGCTGATAGATCTGGCGGTATTAATACACCATTCGAAGTGAGCATGTGATTATTTTTTTTTTTGCTTTCGAGCATTTGGCTAACAGGATGAGTGATCGCCACCACTCCTGGGCATTAGAATGCTCTCAAAGATGTACCTATTGCATAAAGGTAGATACTCTACCTATGTTTCATTCTCCTACTAATTCATCCTCTGTCTGTCCGGCGTACTGAAGAGGTAAAAACGCATTAAGTGCGCTCGAGCTAAATATTTCATTCAACTTAATTTATTTTGTTCAACTTCATAAGAATATTTCAGAAATATCGATTTTCTAATCTACAACAAATAACATCGATTTGCCACGAAATCGATGTTATCACATTTGTAGATTCGAATCACAGTAGTGATCATTCCTACACTATACTCTTCATAGTTTATTGTGTTTTTCAAAACAATAATTAGACATAAAAAGTATCAGATGTGTAAAATCTTGTTGTACAATGAATTCTCACTATAATTTTGCTTTTATTATCTATAACTTATAGTAATCTATATCTTGAAATCTCAAAATTACATAAATAATAAGTTTTTTTTTTAGGTTAAACTTTAGACATTAGCTTTGTATGTGATTTGCTTGCACTTACCTGCAACTTTTCCCCACGGGAGATCCACGGTCCATTCTTTTGTTGTTTTGTTAGACATTTTAATAAAATAATCAATATAAAATGCTTCAGATCGTCACATAGGCACTACACTGCACACTGGCCTTGAATAATAGGTAACATTATCTACAATATTTATCTCGGTATCACAATATTAATTTAAGTGATTCAGTCAATTAAAATACACCTGTGTTTACTTTATTTAAATTTAATATAATGTTGATGAACTAGTTTATTAATAGTTATGATAAAAATTTATAATGCATATTTGTATTAAAATTCTAACAACAACGTAACTCAAGGGATTTCAACTTATAGTTTGATAAAGTTTGATTATGGGATAAGAGAGACAACAATATTTGCATGAATGAGACGGCTAAGTACGTACAGTTCACTGGCACATTACGTAATGCTGTTTTTTTTTTATTATTTCATGATTCATGTGTTTGTTCTTGCTTCATACAACTTATTATTATGTATAGAGCGGCTAGTTAACCCTTTGACTACCACATAGGTCACCGGTGCCCTACGCGGCGCACTGATGTAATTGTGTCGATTTATCTTTTCGATTTTTTAAGACGCTGGAATATCTAGTATACCCTGGGAGAGACGAATTCGAAGTTAGGTACTGAGAATGAATCTATTTCTAAGAGACCTAATGACCTAACACTAAGACCTAAGCATATTTTAAAAAAAACGAAAGAAGGCAAAGCTAGGTAATCCAGGCGCTTAGTAACTGGACATGATTACTTCGGTGCGCCGCAAACTCACCATGATACCTTAAACAAAAACCATACCTACAGTATTTTTTAATAAAATTAAATTTTGATGGGCTTCGCGAGTATTGAAATAGAACTAGTGTATCTTCAGAGAATATTAACACACTTCTTATGCCCTTATTTGAACTGAGTCGACGTCGCCCAAAACACGTCATTTCGGATCCTCCCGATCCACTAACAGTGTTTTAGGTAACTCAAGCACCGGTGATCGTTCTTGTCGAACCTGTCGCTTGCGACGAAGGGCTCGACGAGTAAATTAACCCGCAGACACAGCCCACTGAGTTTCTCGCCGGATCTTCTCAGTTTGTCGCGTTTCCGATCCGGTGGTAGATTCTGCGAAGCACGGCTCTTGTTAGGGTTCGTGTTACCAACGTCATCAGGTTTGAGCCCCGTGAGCTCACCTACGAGTTAAGGTAACGCTGAAATGGTCTCTCAAGAGACTCAAGACCATCAGCTTAGGTAGGAAAAAAAATTTTTGAACTGAAAGTAGGTTCCCGACAGAATCATGTAAGATAAAATATCCGTTTCTTTAATGCTGAGCGGACGAGCCTACGGCCCATCTGATGTTAAGTGGTTATCAGAGCTCATATACAAATACACCGTAAATGCCGCTATTCACGATGAGACATGAGTTCTAAGTCTCCGTTTTACAGTACAACGGCTGCCTCACCCTTCACACTGAAACGTGTTACTGTTAACGGCAGAAATAGACAGGGTTGTGGTACTTACCCGCGCGGACTCACAAGACGTCCTACCACCAGTAATTACGCAAATTATATTTTTTGTGAGTTCGATTTTTATTACACGATGTTATTTTTTAACGTCCGTCTGGTGTAGTGGTAAGTGACATGGTCACTACACTAGGGGGTCGCGGGTTCGAATCCCGCCATGGGAAGATATTTGTATGATAAATATAAAATGTCTTTTCCAGGGTTATGGATGTATATTAAATATATGTATGTGTATAATAAAAATCTTACATTTATTTCCGTTATCTGGTACCTGTAACACAAGTTCTTTACGAACTTATCACGGGACCAGTTAACGCGGCGTGATTGTTAGTAAAATATTTATATTATATTTATATTTATTTAACCATGGAAGTAATTCGTGAACATTTGTTAAGTACGCGTTTTATTACAAAAATTGGTACCTGTCTGCGGGATTCGAACACCGTTGCATTTCTAGATCCGAATGCACCGGACGTCTTATCTTTTAGGCCCCGACGACTTTGCTACGTAAAACTGTGTAAAATTAAATTAAATTTCACAATATTTGTTCAATTCAGTCATTTACTTAAGTAAATTACAAATAATTTATCTTAAAAACCTACTGCCGATAGAAATGCAAAGTGTGCAAACTTATAACTTCGTCTCAGTGATCTTCTCAGTGGGTCGCGTTTCCGATCCAGTGGTAGATTCTGCGAAGCACGGCTCTTGCTAGGGTTCGTGCTAGCAAACCTGATGAGGTTTGAGCCCCGTGAGCTCATCTATTAGTTAAGTTTACGCTGAAACGGTCTCTCAGGACCATCAGCTTAATTAGGGAAAAAAGAGCATTCATTTGTGGCGTTTAAGAGCGCACCTTTTATATGATGCGTAAGTCGGAACGCACGAGACGTGGAAAAAAAGAAGATATCATGTGACATGGGACCTTTTTACCGCCGAAAATATAAAACGTAAAAATAATTTAAAATGTGTCTAATAAGTAATATAATATAATAATGATACTAGGCTGCACTAAAAGTATCGGGAATGGAATATTTCCACTGTTCCTGTCATATTAAAATCTTTTTAATTGAAAACTCCTTGGTTTTAAAAATCGAATACCATTTATTTATTTAAAAAAAGATTCTCGGTCTTGTCACGAGGTTTTGTCAAACTTGTTTAGTCGTTGAGAAAATGGAATTGACTCGAGAAAAT